GCGAATGTGGTGAAGGACAATTAGAACTCGTAGTCAGCCTAGCGAGGGGCGGAGGCCTCCCGTCCCCCACTGTTCCTGCCCTTATTGTGCCCTATCCAGCCGTTTTCCGACCTCATTCCTGCACAAATTGTATCAGAGGGGGCTTCGAATGCAAACCATGTGCAAATCTCCGAAACCACTTTTTCGTGAACAGTGCCTTTAAAGAGTATTAGGCTAGTCTGGGAGGGTCAAAGTACCTAGCGAGTCACTGTATATGCCCCACACGCTGCACACAAATCACTACAATGCCGAAGTATATCGACACCTTCTCATTACCTTAATTCTTTTTTGCTAAGAAAACAGAAGGTGCTAACGGCACGGAACAGTCATTCCGATTTGCTTCTCTGAAATTACTCACTCTACGAGTCTGAATTATTTTTCTCTTAATAAGGTATAGAGGTGAGGGTAAAATTCACTAAGCAGACTTATACGGCTTACTCAGTCATAAAGTTTTCGCTTTTCTAAATTCTATTAGGATCTATCGTCCCATCATAATCTATAGAAGATTATAAGTCATCTGGTGTGCCAGCTACCAGTTGGAACAACATTTGTCTAGCAATTGATAAGCAAAAGCTACGAGCAAGTGTAAGTGTAGGTGATCAGTATCAATAAGTAATGGTACTCCTTGATTCTCTGACTTTTTTACTGCGACTGAACTGTGGTCAGAATTACGTCTGTGAATCTCGGAGTAAAATGGTCTTTCCGCCGATCTGTAAAGCTACTCTCGAATTCTGACGAAACCTCTTGCGTGCCAGCAGCTCTGCTTCCCTCCAAAACCTTCCGTCCCTAAAAAACAAAGTTCTCGTAAATGAGTGGGCAATAGAACGTCCAAAACAAGTTTTGTAGAAGATTTATTCCAATAATTCAACTCTCTTCAGGTGGTAGATATCATCGCAGCACTTTTCAAACAATTCGACCATCTTATCGAAAAATTCGAGGTGCATTCAGCGACTTTTTCGTGAAAAGTTTTATTTTTATCAAAAAAGCAGACTTTTCAGTGCACAAAAGTTCTATCATTGTTGGATAGCTACTTGGTTGTGAGCGGAGCTCCCAATGTCAATAAATCTCACGTCGAAAATATGCTCAATCTCGCTCTGGGTACCATTTTTGCTGGGCGAAATGTTATTGTTCCCGAGTTGAATCTTCCTGTCAGGGTATGCAGTTAATTCAGAATGTTCCGTAGCTATTGGGAAGCTTCATCATAGTAAGTTGAAGATTTCAGGTGAGAGTGGGCATCAGTTGTGGTTCAATCGTTGCTGGTGTGGTGAGCCATGAGAAGCCAAGGTTGGTTGTTGATCCTACTGTAAACCAACAAATTTTAAGTCGAACTCTTGTCGTGTGGCGACTGCCATTTCCCTTCATTATTGACATTAATTCACAGACTTGTGCTAAAACTGACTAGTTCTCGGGGGGAGGGGAGGGGGCTCTAGCAAGTTCATGGTCCTCATCCCGGTTAAGAAGGCTTAGAAGCCATAAACACACTTATCAGCCTAAGTCAGCCTCCAAAGTGTAGATTTGAATGAACAGAGGTAGGAAGGACAAAGTATTCCGAGCAATTCCGTTTCTAGTATGCGCCCCGCATCTGACTTCCATTCATTATGAATCGGGGAGGCATTCTGAAAGCTTATGTCCGCCTATACAGTGAGTCGCTATGGGGCCGATGTAAATTCAAAGCTTTTATCCATCCAGACAGCTCTGGTACCAATCAAGCGACCGCATGGGGATGGAAGACTTGGTTAGCCTGAGCGAGTATCAGTCTGCGTTCCATTCCTCGCATCATGCAAGCGATAGTGCGCTACTTGACACTAACTCACCTCTCCTCCAGCTATCAGTAAATACCGATACGTTATTATAAAACCTCAGAATCTATCGATTGCCTCTTATTATTCAAGCGAAATCAGCTTGCAAATAAAATGGCCAAAGTATGTTATTCATAAACGGTTGGCACATCCAGCACAAGTCACTCACTTTGGCTGCCGGTCCGGAACTGCAGGAAGACATGGAAATCGAAAAAATTGCGAAAAATCCTAATCGGAACTGTAGACTTTCAAAACGATGTCTTCATCCTTTCGAATAAATATGATACCATTTCACTACTATACTGTAGCTGAACGAGAGGGAGGTTTAGTGATCTGATCGCTGGTGTGGCCCGTCTTGATCCTATAACTGAGTATGAAAAGGCTTGGATCCTCTTTTTTCCGATTCCGACGAGATGTGTATGGAAATAGTAGAAGAAATTCACTTCAAGGAATTCTTGTATGGCCAGCACCCGACAGCTCGTCCATTTTTTCGACGAGTGACTAAGTTAATCTAGTTTTGCTTAGTAATTCATAGGCGGTGTTAAGGTACTGCATATTTGGTCACACTGTGAACGTCGCCAGACAAGTGTGCGCTTACAGTCTGCCAGGGAAGATTCTGGTCACGAATTCCGTCCGAACGTCAGTTTATTTTATAGTTTTTAGACCGGACCAACTTCTGTCATTGACTTCGACTTCTACCTATTTCAGAACGGTTAGTCGGCAACAAGGTTCACCGTTCGTTTTCCGACAACATCAACCGATCGAATGTGGACCACTGAAAATGCTTACCCATTTTTTGGAAAAGAACGAAAAACTCAGTGTTTGGGAAATTGCTGGCGTCGAAAAAGGTGCTCAATTTTGAAACATAGTTATAACGTTTTCGAAATTTGATTTTATTCAGAAGCAACTCAATCCATAGATGGCTATAAAGAGCTGCATTGCACTGAAAGTGATGATCCATGGGAAAAGATGAGGACAAATGTAGCTCGAAAGCTTCAGGTATTATCCTTTTTTTCGGCTTCGAAGAACTCCTTCAAGAGGAAAACGGGTGTGGTGCAGAAGGAACGAAATTGTCGCGNGCCGCGTGCAGCGGGGATTTTATAAAACCGTTTCTACTGCCTGTCTCCCGAAGAAAACCAGTGGCTGAGTAATTACAACCATAAAACGAAATTTAGGTAATTGACGCCTTCCGTCCAGGACCATCACGATCTCGACGAGCATTGTTGAGGTTGCAAGCTGTGAAGAGGAAGTTTCGAGCGGCTCAAAGTAACGATTCAGGAGTTTCTATGAGCGAACCAAATCTTGAATCTACCGTTTGCAGTGTTATGTAGAGGGTCCTTTTTGCGAATGCTTACATTGTTAAATTGAACAGATCTTCTATTTTGTAATGCAATATTTGAAGTTTCAATTATTTTTTGTTTTAGAAAAAATCTTTAAATTCAGTTGTTGGATGTTTTATTCACAGTAATCATAACCGCTGACCAAAAGACACTTCCAACTACCATTTCACTTTTCCAGGGATATATTTGTCAATCAGTGATTGGTAGTAAGGCTTCACTTCTTCGATATCCGGCTTCTCATCGTTTTTCGAGTACAAATCGCAACTACTGAAAAGAAATTGTAGCTGTTGAGGGTACAGGGTAATGATAGGCAGAAGTAAACAGACCAGTAAACAATGTGTAAACACCTACTTCAGTTCCATTATTGCACTTTCAAGTTGGCGGTCTTTCTCGTTCATGAATTGTCGATAGGCATTGTGAGCATGGTAAGGATAGAACGAGTGGAAGCGAATGGCATAAAGAGCCTCTTCAGGTAAAGTGGATCCATGATTGACTAATACCTAGAAAAAAAATTGGAAGTTAGGTGGAATTGAAGACCGATTAATCAGATTCACAGGGGAGGCTGCCCCTCCATCAGAACAAGAACAACTCGTACAACACTTGCTTACACCAGGGGTCCAGGCAATGCCGCGTCTATCCAAGATGGTATTTTCTACCCTTCCCAGGCACTGCCAGTACCAATCAAACGAGCCCAAAAGGTAAGGTCTGTTCTGTGTAGGTAAGATCAGATCCGGGACTGTATCAGTGGGATGTGGGTACGGTAGCGATTACTCCTCCCAGTAAACCTCCGAACACTTTCACCTTCATATTGTTGGCACTGTAAAGGGTATGGGAGCTTTGATGATACCAACAAAGAAGCTGGTTTAGAACAGTATTGGAAAACGTCGAATAGTCTTAACCCTTTCTATCGTAAACCACTGGAGCAGGTAACGTATAGTTGGAGGACTTGGATATTTGATAAGTTCGCCAACTCACTTGATACATAAACTCATCATGACTCCAGCACATCTTCAGATTTTCGAGCCCAATTCCGGCACTGTACATTCCGAATTCAGTGCTGTAACCAGAGGTTCGATTTAGTGATAACTCCGAACAGCACTATTAAGTCGTAATGAGAAAACTTGCTTGTATTTGGGGTTCTGTAGATCCGGATTTCCTTCAAAACTGTCGATTCCAAAGACTATTGTGTCTGACGGTGCACAGCCGACAGGATAGGTATCACCTTGAAGAAAAAGATAGCTGAAGAATGATAGGCAAGAAATAATAGAGAGTTGGCGATGAGAGATGAATGAGCTCTTTAAATATATTTTTAGTTTGTAATAACGTCAAAATGTAACCAAGTCAAAAATGCCGAAAATTATGTCCCGAAATATTATTTAACATTGTTTTTTTGTTTTGCTTTGCATTAAGTGCAGTCGAATTGATCAAAAAGGTATATTAGTTGAGCTGAACTAGTGAAATGGCTGCATAGACTTCAGACAATGAACAGAAATTCCAAACAAAAAGTAATGTTTCAACATACCTGTGACCGCCCACTGCTCCTCTCCCCAGACACTCATCACTTTGCCCAAATCGTGTACCAGTCCAGCTAGATGCATCCACGGCTTGTCTGGATGGGATTCGCGTAGTCTCTCAGCAGTCTGGTAGGCATGGACCAGATTTGCCTCGTCGACCTGAAAATGCTTTTGGGAAAAATTGGAGAGATTGAAGTCAGAAAATGAGGAAAGCAATCCGATGACGTAAATAAAATTTGATTGATCTCCAGAAAGCCTACGTCAGGATCACTTTCATCTAGAAAATCCGCTAGCATGCTCAGGGCTTCCATGATAGTCATCGTAGCATGATCGAACGATAACCATTTGCGATGCTGAAAAGAATTCAAAAAAGTGAAAAATTAAAAAAAAAACAAATTCTTCCTACCATTTCGTCGACGAACTCCACTGTTTGTAGTCGATGCTGGTTGTAATAATGATTTTTGACCCGTTCCTGGATTCGATTCATTGGGTTTTCCTCATAGTTCCTATACGTTTTGCCATCATCAGCGAACACTGGTGGTACTTGCAATTTCATTTTCAAACTGGAAGCAGTTAGAGTTAGTTGGAATCAGCTATAGAAGAAAGTCAAAGGCAGAAAACGGTTAGCGACGGATCAAAGTCAATCAGAGAATGTCGTTGGTCTATGTTTTTACGGTTTGTTATACGACCTGACCCGGCCATTAATGGCAGTCGTAACGAAGACATTTACTCGATCACGTAGTAGTGTCGAAGGCCGTTAGGTGTTAAAGTTGTACATCAAAAACAAAAATAAGGGAATTTCAAAACGTTCTTTGTCCTTCAGAATTACTTTCGAAATGAAAAATAACCGAAAGAAGAGGAAGGAGACGATCATGGCTTAGGACAGAACCAGAAAACGCCCTTGGCAGATCATCCAAGTTTTTTGTTCTCAGAAATGGGAAACGCTCACTTCGAAACCTTATATAAACGATGGCTTTTCTCTTTCAGTTGGCACAGTTTTCACTCTAATCCAGGCAACAAAGCCAAGTAGTTAGGGACGAGTTATCTCTTGCGGTTGATCTTTCACCTGTCCTCTCTCCGAAAATGGAAATAAGTTCGAGACAACAGTCCTACAGATTGTTATTACGAATATCGGATAACGCTGAATTACTACTGATGGCTACTGATGGGTGATGACGATGTGATCTAACAAAAGCTCAATGGTCATGGAGTGGGAAAAGGGTTCAAACCTAGTTTATACTCTGCGAGTTTGCTTTTGAAAAGAACCTCAACTACGTCCCAAACTGGGCTGATGGGACTATAAAATATTCACTTATAAATACTACAAATGACAAGATATCACTGTCATCAACTAGTATGTGGTAGTAATCAAGTTATTTCAAAACGACCGTGAGTAACACTTGCAATAAATATTCGAAAGCAAATGAATATTCACGGCCCAATCTTATGAATATTTGCTTATTTTCATCTGTTTACTACTCTGGGTGGAGGCGAGTGTAATGGCCAGTGGCGTACTATCACCCGGATCGATACTCGCCCCGCGTCAACCAAGCCTTCCTTCCTTACGGCGACGGTTAATTGGTCTCAGACTCTTTTAAGTGAACAAAAAGTTGAAAGCTGACTTTTACATCGGCTAGCCACCGCAATGCACTGTACAGGTGGCTTACCCACTCAGACGATCAGAAACCGTCGTTACGATTCTGAATGGTAGTCGAAGGCGGGGGCTCATCCGAAAAACGGGATCGAGTGACGTCAAAAGTTTTAGCCTTTCATTCACTGCGCATGTGCCCAAGCAAATGGAACTGAAAGAAAATGGATCAATCTTCAAGCAGTAGCAAGTCGATGTCTAGTATCAAGCTCTAGAATTAGACGGATTAGGCTTTCAAGGAAAGAAACCCGAAATAAATTAATTAGCACACACAGTTCACGGTGATTTCGAGGTGCTCTTTCTGAGTGAAAAGGCGTAAGTTTTAGTGAAAAATAGAGCATCGGGCATCGCTGGCGAAGAAGTCGAGATAATACACCGAGTTGGTGAAATAAGGCCTCGTAAAAGTGGTGAAAATAGAGGTTGTACGAGACTACCATGACGGAAATGGCATGAAAGGAGTATTTGGACGAGATTTCATCTGTTGCAACTGCGCAAACAGCTGACTAGATCAAACCAAAACTGTCTAAAACAGTCTTCCACTGTCGCCATGACCATGACAAGGTGTCTAAACTCCCTACAGGACTCCTCCTTTCTTGTGGGAATTGTCGAAGCAACTTTTGTCCCTTATAATATCCAGTCTAGACCCTTTCCCGACCTGTTAGCGTCACGTATGGCATACGAGGGGACCACAGATTTTTCCAACGGGTTAGTTTTTGGATGCCATTTTTTATCGTGAACTGTGCCGTTAAAGCGAGGAGCAAAAGACAGCTGAAAGTGAAATCAAGTCATTTGCTTTAGAAAAACGATGATTCGTGCACATAAAAGGAAATAACAGGTCAATCAAGCTTTTAAAGTAAAAAAAAAAGCCACTGAGTGTCTTTCAGAGGTTTCTGGAACCAACTGGTAGTAATGAGTTATCGAAAGACAGGTACGGGGCATAGTATTCCAAATAATCTACTCAGAGTTTGATGTTGTTCTAAGGCTCACTAGAATCAAACAAGGCTGGAATTTCTGAGAAAAAGAGATTATGATTCTACAATTTAATTTTATGGACCAACAAACACGACCCTTTGACTGGAGAGTTTCAAAGTAAACTGAAACCTGAAGAGGCCAGGAAAGGGCCAAACAAGCAGAATTACCTCATTGGCAATACTCTACAGTTAATATCGAGCCTCGAATATTAGCTGGCTTCGAGTGATCATGTGAAATTATTCGGGTACTGATAATCGAATGAGTAGACAACCCCGAAAGCCTTCAGATGTTCTTTGCAGTGCTACTGACCGCAGAATCATCGTAGCAGGGTTTGATGCAGTAGTCAAGTCAGTCATCTGCTGTCATCTAAGCAATGACAGGGCAAAGATATCTCCAAAAGGTGTGTGTAGATGAAGCGATATGAAAGCATGTGCAAAAAGAGCCATGGGAGTGAACCGGAAAAACAGGACGTCAAAGAGATGCATGGAAGGCTGCTCTATCAAGTCACAGCAACGGATGCGGATTCTTCATTGTAAGATGGTCAGAATGTCGTGGTCTGATCTGATCCGTCCGAATCTGATCTTGTCGAAAACAAGTTTGTTTACATGGGCGAATAGTAGTTTACGGCAATAAATTTACTGGAAATAGTCAAAATGCTGTGGAAGTTCTGCGCTCAACACCATTACCGGCACAGAAGTACTATCGCGAAGTGTACTGTCTAGAAGTTGTTTTCGCTTAATTTCACGGGGTAAATCTGTTTCGTACCACTGAAACTGGAATTGTATACGTTCTCGCTGTGCATTGCATTATGATAGTCGCGCTTGCCGAGTAGAAGGATGAGGTCGAGCGCCAAGCGTTATTGATTGGTGACCGGCGTTGCTACAGAGCGAGCGTCGCCGGTAAACGCTCAACGCTCTACTCTGAAAGATGTCAGTGACAGTGTTAAATTCTCTGAGATCAGTAAAGAGAAATGGTAGGACCCACTCTGAACAAAGAATCGACATCATTGGAGAGCAATAGTAACGGTATACATTTTGTGAGGGTTCAATGTCTAGAAACTACTAAGGTTCTAATCTCATTCAAATTTCGGCAATTCCGGAACTTTACTGTACCTATACATTCGTTGATACGTTCAGCTTCTTATCTGCTTATAACTTTGTCACCCATGGTCTTTCGTTTGAAGATCCACCGCTTAGATCTGAAATTCAATCAAGCCGTTTTCATTCTGATCTGTCATACCGACATCATGACGTTCTCTCTACTTCTTTTCGGGTGAGCGACAAGCGGCTCGAGCTTGGAACGGAATGCGCGTGCGCAGCATGTTCCCTTGTTAGCTGTCTGGCGGGATCGACTAGGTTCGGGGTAAGTGGAACTACATATTGAAAAGACCCTTCCTGAAAATCGGCGAAAGCTTGGATATTTCGGTTCGTACCCGTGAAAGTCGCTAGCCTGTTCGAAAGCTTTGTAATTCATGGAACACATATTATGTACCTTTAGATTTTTCGGGAGGTTTTTGGGTGTTGCCTCAAAACCCATTTTCCGGATTTAATCGATAAGTTGGAATCGGTATTTCACTTTGCCGATTGAATCGCTGATCAAATTCGAAAGAGGAAAAGAAAGTTTCGTGACTTTGTGTAATAGACTTTGTTACTGACTGTGTGGCATGACCATGGAAAATGGAATCGAGAGTTCAGCCTCGACCAGCTCCATATGGCTTGAGACTACCTTCTTTTGCCCTGTCAGGTTGATCGCGAGGATTGTGCATTTGGTGTGTACCATCCATTCTGCTGCCCACATGTCACAGGTCCAATCATTGCGGAACAAAACATTTTTTCAACTCTGGATCTCAAGTGAAGCTCTGAGTTCTGTAGTTCTTCTATATTGCTTGTATGCCGGGGGCTCTTGTGAATCTCTTTTTTTTTCAAGAAAAATCAAACTTTGAAATCATTCTGTCATGAGCATTTATTCCAGTGTAAATTTATACGAAATCTCTTTACTCCAGATTTTCCCATGTGAATTATCGAATGTGAGCGTGTAATCGCCGTTTTCTTTACATTCCATCGAACCAAATTCTGGATGGAATTCGGTAGTGATGCGAAATGTCGGGAAAGCCTGAAAAATTACCGTAGTACAACTTCATGCTTCGAATTCAGATTTGAGATATCATAGAACTCGTCCGCAAACAATGTCGGTATGGTTAGTCAAACAACCGACAGCGGATTAACAGGGATGAGTTGGTCTATCCATTTGTAAGTTGGCGTGGTCACTACATTCATGCCCAATGTATTGCTGATACATGACACAATAGATCTTACCATTTCATTATTTTTCTTGATTCCAAAATCAACATCTCCTCCAGTAACTCTCATTAACCATCGTAAAGTTTTACCTTTCTCACCATGGATTTGTATCTGAAATAGGCGCATTATTTCATGAATTTCCTAAATTTCAAACACCCTGCAGGCAACTCCAACGAATTTCACTTTTTTTATTTAGATAAGATGCCCAAATAGCTGTCCCAATATCTGTCCCAGTCCACGAGCAGCACGGCGTCACAGTTAGTTTAGGTGCACCAGATTTCAAAGGATCTTCTTCTTTTTAGTCACTCTCAGTTTTTCAAATGCTCAGTTATTTGCCATTTTTCCTTCTAGCTCGCTAGATCTTCTTCTTCAACTGTGTGTTAGGAAACTAAGATTCGAATAACCTATCATAGACTATTCTTTGAGAATAGGATGAAATCTGTGTCTTCTAACTTACCGTCGAGGAAAAATATCAAGCACTCGGGCTATTGAGCCTTCCCTTAAGACAAGATCCGCGTCCTTAACTACTAAGTCGTTACGGTCCTCAAGATTTGTTTTTGGCTCCAGAATGGCTGTCAGGGGCCAAATAACTACATTCTGTGTCTGAACCTTTCCAGACGACCGAAATCTTTAGCACATATGATGGGCATAGTACGTTCTGACGTACGGGGTGTGGAAGAGATACAGAAAAATGCTAAGGCTTACTTGAAAAATTATTTACTTAAAAAACAAAACGAAAGTTGAATAAGGCTATTGCTCTTTTATGAATCGCTGGATATACGGAAGTTTCTCTAGATTGTTGGTGCTCCCTCCCTGAGTACTCACCTCCGATTTTGATCGTGCCGCTACAGTAAGTTTAGTGAATCCTTTTTTATCGTCATCGACATTATCCTCTGCCTTGTACCTAAAGAAAATACTTCAGCGTACAATAGAGTGATGAGTAATATTCTGCTGATGTTGAGCTTACTGTAATTTTTCAGGAACTTTTCCTCCCATTCGGATATCACCAGTTGGAAGCTCGGACGCTTTACTTCCACCCCAGTGACGGTAAATGTTATGTTCTCCGAGCTGAAAAACTTCTTCCACCATGCCTTTCCATGACAAAATTGTAGAATTTATACAAACCTCTTTGATGAGGAATTCCTTCCAATCATTTCCCAAAAATGTTACCTGAAAATAGGTGAAAATCAAGCTGAGAAGAGAGTGTCTTTGAGCTGTGAAGCAAAATTGACGAGCGGAGATAATTTTTTTCACAGTCCGCTATGAGTTTGACACTGATGTGGACAGTGAACAATGGGCGGTACTCCCAGCCGAATTCCCACAGCAAGAGGCGCGGGTGTGTGTCAAGTCCGAGGGTGCGCGCGGCAAATTACGCGGCGAAACTCATAACTATTCTGGCGGCTTTAGCGCCTATTATTTGGGCCCAATTTTGAAGTACAGTAGAATAGTAGGATCAGCTGACCTTACTAATATAACTTACTTCATATTTGGGCCCCAATTATAGGCGCCGGAGTCGTCCATATTCGCCACGAACGTCGCCGTGCAATTTGCCGCGCGCACCCTCGGACGCACGACTTGACCGTCCCCCAAGAGGCGCCGCAGCTACCGTAACCTTCCGAATCGAATCATAATCGAAAACACAAAATTATTAATTAAATATAAATTCCCTTTTACATAGCGCTATTGCTCCCCATGAGGTGAGTGTGGCGCGTCGTACTGGTGCTAGACAAACCCACTGCCATTCCTTTCAGCTTTAGCCCCTTATGTTGCCACCGAATCTTATTTTTACTTGATGTTTTGATAATTCGATCAATAAAGTCGTACTGACCTTTTCCTTAGTTTGCTTTGACAATACTGGTTGTACCATTGCGTAGACGGTTTTAATCATCATAGGACTATTTATGACGTAGATACGTCTGCCAAAATCCGGAAACAATGCCTGAAAGCCGTCTTCTTATCTTTTTCGCTCGAAACATCCCACAAAATCCATGGCATCAGTGGCACTTACCTGTAGCAAAGTGAGCAAATTCAGGTAGATGCTAACAGCTTGCGGATATAGAACGTCCATACTGAAGTTATCCAAATCAATGATAATCTTCGCTCCTAACTTCCTCCTAGTCGCAGCTTCGGCTTTCCTAGAATAGTGCTGTTGAACGAAAAGTCTCGGGGAAGTCAGCCAAGTACCTTCTACCTGACAAGTTTGAATGCCAATTCAGCTTCGACAATACTGAGCCGGTACAGCTCACTCACAGCTCCTGATCTAATTAGAGTTTTCGGATGGGTCAGTGATAAAGCCTGCATGTATACGACATTTCCTTCATCGTCTTGGCACATTAGACCTCCTTAAAGAGAATCAAATAAAAATCAAAATATAAGAATCAGAAATCAAATTGATCAAATCATGCTCAAAGATAACATCTCAAAGACGGGAAATTCGCTGTCTGTGCTGTTTTGGATAGGGGAAGAGCATTTGTAAAAGATTAAGTTTTCTGGTTGATCAATCTGATTTTGGGATGTACCCGAATACTCGACCCCGTACAGGATCTCTGCTGTTTGAGATGCGTGTCTGGCTTTCGTAATTCTCCAAGCCAACTGACTTACAAGTCAGTGCCTCTGTCCTCCCACACAGTGCTTCTGCCCTCCCTCACGTGCAGTACCAACTAATCAATAAGTACGAATCAAAAGCTCATCATCAGAGCTGTCCAGGGCGAACACGACCCCTCTCCTTCTATCAGCTTCAAACCACATTAACCCAACCGTGCATCAACGATATCTTCTTTTCTAATGGGTTTGTTTTTATCATGGGCCAGACACTATGTCGCCCAACCCTGGAGTGCCTCCTTTTTTCCAGGACAAAAAGGAAAAACTAGCAAAAAGAGAGCTTCTATGCCTTGGGATGACATGGCACCCATGTCGGGCCATGATTTGGGCGACGGTATGTTTATGTACTGCAAATCGAGGCCATTATTCAATCGAAATCATACCCCTCAGCCGACCAAATTCAATTTTGGATATTCTTGGAAAAATGATAAAGATTGGCGTTGATCAATACCCTTTCTTACACAAGGCATACATTGAGCTTGCATTCAAAATCCCGTAGCAGCCTGTGAATGGTTATGTCCCTAAAAGTAGTTTGGAAGGTTAGTTGACGCCAAAATCAGGCATTTTATTCTCCCAGAAAAGTAAATTATCGTCTCATAAGGGATGGATGGCTTGCTTGGCATAAGCGACCATTGATAAGGCAGTCCATCTACGGGCTCTGGGCTCGGAAGTGCGCTACCTAACACTACCCATCCAACATTATTTATATGAACTTCACAACAAAGGCAAAATACAACCAAAAGGTAAATCTTACCTGGGAAGTATTCGGCCACACTGGACATAGACCGAATCTTCGCATTAATTTCACTAACATTCTCCGCCTTCAGTTCATCCAATCGTAAGCATGTTAACACATCTAGCGAGTACTGGAGTTTCGGAAGAATCAAATCTGAAAATGAGAGGGAATGTGCAAGTACTGTCGAAGGAAATCTGTCATCTTCTCATATGATACTGTGTGTTACAAAGATGTAATAGCTTTTCAGATATGTGGGCCGGATTCAGTGCAGGACATTACATCCGACCTTTCTAAAAAAACAATGTGGGTTAGTGGGTTCATGTTCCCTTCCTGAACCTACAGCATCAATCAGCAATGTTTTGGCATGTAACACCGTATGTGGTGTACCCACTGATGGCTTAACAATGTCTGTGTTAGTTGACAGTTACAACAACAGCAATTATAACTTCGGTTTCGCCCCTACCTTTCGGGACAGCGGCAAAGAGAAGGGAAACGTTAAAAGGGAGAACGTGAGAGAAATACTTCCCAGTGTGTTCCATGTAAGAAAAAGTTGAAAGTTTTGCTAAATATATATGAGCCAACCCTGGACTCTGATGTGTTTGTAAACAATTAACTAATCCTAGAAAGCAGTAACCAAGATTGTCATAATAGATACATGGGGTGCTCTAACAACTTTGACTTACCTACGTCATAGTCCCATCCCATCAGCCATCTAAGAAGTGAGAAATCGGTATCGTAGTCAGGATATTTGGCCAGATGCTTGGCAGCTTTCTGTCTGAGTTCGGCTATTTTTTGCTTCTGATATGGTGTAACCTCATCAGCCGCTGGATAATGACATTCGATTGTCATTCTGTAAACAAAAACAAATCAGTGGAAGTGATCAAGAACTTGAAGTAAAATGACGCTTCTATCTTTTGAACGCTACATGGTGTAAATCGCAGCCCCTCGTTAATCGTTTCCAGTGCGCGATGATGCTAGCTAGTTGACTCGGCATGCGTCAAAGGGTTGTAAAAGTGACTTGCTCCGCCGCGGGGCACGCCGTTCATGCACGTCGCTGCGCACCCTTCCCATTTTTTTATCGAACAACTCGTCCGCCTACCTGAGCGCCAGGTAGGTGTCTACCTTGGTGAGACTTGCTAAGTCATTTTACAATGCTGATATTCGTTCAAACTATATTTCTTAGTTCTTTTCAAATAACTTCTCTCTTGTCACCGTATGAGCAAGTAGTGAAGTACGTCCCACAATATTGGGACGAGTTGCTCTTAGCCCTAGTGTCACTATGACGGCGTCAAAATACTCGTGCAGTCGGAGCAAAGCTATTTATGCGAATGGCGAATTTGGTATGAAAGCAGCATGTTTACACAAACAAGAATTTTCTGGAATAATAGGAAAGATGGGAAAAATGAACACTCCGAAAAACATGAGCATAAAACGGCGTTCCCTGCACCCAGAAGAATGCTCAGTCATGAACAAAGCGGAATCTTAACGATTGTTGGCTGCAAGTTGTGATGCCGTTCACATCGCCAACTCCAGTAAAAGCAACGCAGCAGCTAGTAAACAAACAAGCCTGCGAACAAATATTATGAGAAAATGTATGGGCTATTGCCTATTTTTGGCATAGCAGATGCTATGACGTTTTCTTAGCCGCACGTTTGGAAAAAGCTCTAATCGGATTGTCACTGATAAAGTGGCACAGCATTTTGTTGCCTCTAGATGGAATGTTTGCCTAGTTTTCACGAGTCCCCAGACATCCCAGGAGAGTAAGGCCGTCCCCTAGAATTGTCCCGTAAATCGGCAAAGATGGCACGATTTCTTAGGAGTTTGCCGATTATGTTGGCTCTGTGAAAAGGAGCTCGTGCCAGGTTGCTGACATGAAACTGCACTAAAGATGATTGCGAACGAACTCAGCCCGTATGTGGGAACGATTCGGAACAGAAACAGAATACGCGGCTCACACTGAAAGAAAGGATCCCAAGTCTTTTGGTACATTTTTATTAACATTATAGCAGTCCGCTCGATGTTGCTGTGATCAGCTTAAACTTAATGAGAAGGATCATGAAACCCTTGTTTAATCAGATCTAGCCTTACTTTGCCCATTCATACTTCGAATTCTAACAATTTATAATGCTTTTTTGCAAAGGAGTTGTAGGGGAGTAGATGAAGGAGCGGGAAGTTTAGATTTTCAGCAAATACTTTTCGCCTAGACTAATGGTAAAGATGACAAAAGGGTAGCGGTGAAAGGTTTACCACCGTCAGGTCCTTTCATTTTTAATGGAAGAAAGGTGATCGACCCTCGTAGAAGTCACAAGATGCGCAGCAACCTAACTGTTAAAATGTGGAAAAGAATAACGTTCTCTCGTTCTTCTGGCGGCGCTGTTCTCTAGCAAAAAGCCGGTGCTACTGCTGGGGGCCCAGACATGGTCACGTGAGGACTCCTGCAGTAGCTTCTGGCCGTAGCCCATATGGCTTTGTCTCGTTAATTATCATTTAACCTTCCAGCTTGTACTCGTTTTTTTAAAGGCACCGTTCGCGATGATTCAATGGGCGGGTGTGTCGATGACGTGCCCGCCTCTCATTCGACGCCACGTCTGACTGCCTGACGTGACATCGAATGAGATGCGGACACGTCATCGACACACCCGCCCATTGAATCATCGCGAACGGTGCCTTTAATAAAACAATATTGCTACAGCATAAAAGCAGCAACACAATCTGGTTAAGGATTCCCATAAGCAACTAAACAAGCTTGACTCCGCTGAAACGCAACCTAGGTTGTACGCATATAGGTTCAAAAAGTCCCAAAAATTTTAAAATATACGCTGAGAAACCGTGGGTACGGAAGCAGAAAGAGGAACGAATATGACTTCTAGAAGGAATAAGTATGGATGAGCAAAAAAGTAAAGAAGCTTCAGCTGGTGATTCTCAGCAAGCCCATGTTGACATGGGTGGTGCTGCCAGTGCTTTCTCAGTGGCGAGTCGTTTTCAGCTACAGATAGCGCAATAGTTTGTTGGTACCTTATCAAAGTGTGTGATAGGGGTGAACACAGACCTTAAAATGGTCTTTCGTTATCATCAGAGCCGATTACTGATAAAAAATCAACTGGAAAACCTGCTGCTCTTCCAAAGACTTTCTCATCACTAGAAGGAGAAAGTAGGCAGGATAGAAATCGACATTTGATTCTTGTACGGAGTCGGGCGTCCGAGGGAATTGTGCTTAAACCATCCACCGGTGTCGTCAAAGGAGCTAAACCTTTGAGGTGTGACCGGTCAACTCGTCCAAGTTGGAATGTATGTTGGATTAGAAGATATCCATGTGCATCGAGGGTACTTAGGTAGTCGAGCTGAGCAATAGAACTTAACTCAACCTTCACCTTAACTTCCCTTTCGTCGGGTCCACGAAGCAGGCTGTTTAGGTCCGTTGTTCCAAATTGTTTGTCTTGAATTTGAGATGGAGACCAACTCTGTTTCGGTATAATTTTGCAAATGGACGATATTCCCTACGCATTTTCGAAGATTCTTCATCCTGAAATTGATATACCACTTTTCTTCTTATCTACTAGTTATCATCAGTTAGTCAACGATTAGCAATCCGCCACTAATGCCACTTATCTGTTGTTGTACATCAGTGTGCCTATCTCCAAGAGGCCATAGGAAGTTTGAAGTTTAAAGTTTTTGGCGTTAAAATCCCGTCTGAGGGATGCGCCCCCACACTCGACTTCCATTCAGAATCGAAGTGGCGTAATGAGTGCGTATGTGGCCTATACAATGACTTGCGGTATCCAGCCGTTGTACAAGTCGGTGCTTTTATCCTCCCAGACGTGTCTGGTACCAATTCACCGACTCCGGAGGGATGGAAGGCTTGATTCGCCTAGGCGGGCATCGATCCGGTATTCGAATCCCTGACCGTGTGAGTGATATAGTGCGCCACTTGCCACTACACCACCTCCGCCTAGTAGTTAAGTTAGTTCTCGAATATCCATCGCACAATCCAGACCTTGCTTCAGGCCACTTTTATATTATCCGAAGGGATAGATAGATGTTATAGCGGAAGAATCGAATTCTGGACGCTGCTACTGTTCTTGAATACTCACAGATGAAACCGAAAACTTTTTTTTTCTGAAGGAATAAAAAAATAAAGTTTTGGAGCCTTTGTAAGGAATGAAGGAGCTCACATCGTGAAAAAGGTGATTCGTTTATTACTCGAACAAAGATGGGCGGAGGTAGTGCACTGCCAAACGGCGCATTATCACGTGCATGGCCTACGGATCAAATCCTGGATTGATACTTGCTTGGTCTAACCAAACCTTTCATTACCCCAGGGTCGACTAGTTGTCACCAAACTCGTCTGGGAGGATGAAAGCACTGACTAGCACATGGGCCGGGCATTGCAAGTCAATGTGTAGGCCACATATGCATTTTAAACCATCTACGATTCCGAATGGAAGACGAATGTCGGGCGCATCCCCGAAGCAGGACCCATCAATACTTCATAGATGACCTTTGAAATAAGTGCACCTTCTCTCGAATGCTTTTCACTTTTTGACATTCCCTGGAATTCTGAAGTGGATGGCAATGGCGTTGGTCTTTGAAGTTCAAAAGGCTTCGAATGATGACGGGTGCCAGTTCGACTGACAACTTGGCATACTGAGCGCTACTGAGGGCTATCGAGGATAATGAAGGTTCATGGGCAGCAGCACAACAGCCCTTCCTGGCTTGTCAGGCTTCCACACGCTTACCTGGAAAAAAACCAGTCAAAGGTTTTCATACGCCGGCTGATGCAACCATAGTCACGCGCTGATAAGGCGTGCTATCGATGAAGCCACCAGCTCTACGGCTATTTTAGCAAAACGGGAGCTACTGTTTACAGAACAAATTATACAACCGTGAAGTTTTTGATTTATCGATAAGTCCGCACAGTAGGCACCCACTGCTACAAGGGTATGCAGGAACACGAGATTATAAGTCCAGGAATTTAACCCGGAGATTAGGACGGAATCCGACTGAGGGTCGAACCTTCTTCTCCTTTACTTGTGGAACTAAGATCTTCCTCGTTTTGGATCCCCCTAGAAATATCGGGTCATCCTCTCATCTTGATTCCGTCCCATTCTGAAGTCTTCTCAGTGCGGTATGCTTCGCACCGGACCTGCATTTATGATCCTACTGCAGCAGCACTTTCTTAAACTCAAACAGAACCATAACGAAAATTAAATCAATAAATCAATGAACTGCACTTGAATACCACCATTTCTTTACTTTGGTGCCTTCAGTGCGATTTCAAAGAGCGTCTACACTATCTGTGATTAGGTTTACAAGAGTGAAGTGATGAAAACATAAGGGCGAGCACTTTTTAGATAGAGGGCCCTTACCTTGTACTTTCTATGATTACCAAAGTTTACTCTTGACCGCACCATCCCCTTGGCCTTCCCTTCAACCTCGCCCTTTGAAAATGTACCTTTACGATCGTTCACGGGCGGAGGTGATATAATGCCAAATGACGAGCTATATCACATTGTCTGGGGATCAAATCCCGGATTGATAGTCGCCCCGTCCACCCATGTCCTTCCCTTCGGGACCAGCTAGTTGATCCATTGTTTCGTCCGGAATGGTAAAGCAGTAGATTGTACACTGGCTGACCACCACGATTTGTTGTACAGGTCTAATACCCCATTCAAACGCTACAATTATTTTGAGGAAAGGAGTTGCCAAGGCACATTCCAACATGGGATTGGTCAACGCCAGGGGACTATTAACAATATTCTCGTCAAAACTAGGGTGATACCCCATCTGGGAAACTCCCACACAAAATGCCGAAGGATCATCCTTAGAGAAAGAAAGCCCACGATTCGTCT